TTGTTTCAGAACTATTGGAGGTGGTACTGTCTTATGCTGCACTTTTACACTGTATCAAGATTACACTTACACTATTGATATTTTGCACAGCTTAGTAAATGACCCTGAAAAGGAACTTGACAAGCTCATCTCTAAAATTAATCCTAAATTTCTAGGAGGCAATTTTGTTCTACTTTGAGACCAAGTAGATTTTTCCCATAAACTTGAAAAAGTAGGTGTAACACTTTTGTGGCCAAAATGTTTATTTTTTTTTTAAATATATATTTAGACACTCTTCTATTGTTCAGTGAAAAATATAAGTAAAACATTTTTAACCAATGTCACTAACCCATCACCTTTAGTGTATGCCACACAATTAACATCTTGTGGTTTTATCTGTGCCTCTTCAAGAGCCTCTTGCAGGACATCTAAGATACAGGAGCGATGGTGACGAGCAGTGTCACTTGGCATGAATCCTATAGAAAATAGAATATAGTGTGACCCAAGGACAAAAAATTGTATATGGTTATATGCAAAAAAAAATAAAAAAAAAATAAAAAATAAATAAATAATAATTGTGTTTTGAGGAAAGAATTTAAAAACAGCAAGTCAAACCTGTTTTATTCAATAGAATAAAAAAAGTTCCCGAACAGTTAGTATTAGCCTTCCTAGTAAATATTATATTCCACTTCAACCAAACTGTATACAATAGATTAGAGATTTACAAAGACAAGAAACATACTGGCTAGAGCAGCGGTTCCCAAACTGTGTGCCGCGGCGCACCAGGGCACACAGGGGTGCCACGTAATGTTTCCCTGGTGCTAAGAGTATAGCACCGGGGAAACATTACTGCTGAACAGGGGCTCAGTCGAGTGCTGCGGATCTTTAAGATCGCCACCGGACCCCTGTAATGTCGGCCAGCTGGGAGGAAGTGACAGCCTGGTACTTCCTCCCAGTATCCTGCAGGGAGGCAGCCACAACGTGAGGGGAGAGGAGCATTAAGTGCTCCAAACCTCTCACTCCCACCTGCAGCGAACTGCAGGTCACCCTCCTGGCACATAAGGTAAGCTGACAGGAGGGTGGTTGGAGATATAAAAAAAAAAAACCACTTGTATGTGTGTGTATGAGTTTAAATGTGTGGGAGTATGAGTGTGAGTTTGTAAGTGTGTGTGTGTATATATATATCAGTGTGCTTCTGTGTCTGTGTGTCAGGGTGTGTGTTTTTAGATCAATGAATCTGTGTCATGGTGTGGGCATGTATCAATGTTTGTGTATATCTAAGTGTGTGTATGTGTCGGTGTCTATATGAATTTGTGTGTAGGGATCGACCGAATATCTGTTCGGCCGATAGTCTGTATTTTCAGCAATATCGGTATCGGCCACTAAAGATAATGCAGATCAGGGCCGCCATTAGGGTCCTGGGGGGGGGGGCCCAGCACACTCTTACTAGCAGTTCCCTTCAGCTCCCCTGTCTAACTCTCGCGTCCGTCAGAGCGTTGCCACGGGTTACCATGGCAACGCTCCGCGCGGTACACAGGCCTCAAGAGTTAGACAGGGGAGCTGTTGGAAAGGCAAGTAAGAGTGTGCTGGGCCCCCCAGGACCACAGCGGCCCCCCCTGGAAATGCCATATCTAAAACAAAATGTAAAAAATAAAAATAAAAAAAGAAATATCAAAAAAAGTAAAAAAAAAATAAAAAAATAAAAATATATATACACACACACACACATATATATATATATATTTTTTTTAAATGCGCCCCCCCCCTTCCATTTTACATACTACACAAACACACACTCTGCATTCACTATACACACACACGTCTATTCTTGAAAACATAAAAAAATTCTGACTAGCATGTAGTATATTTTGTGCATTTACCTTAAAAAAATTAATTTGCAAAAAAATAAATAATAAACATGTTCAGTTTACAGTAGATTTGTGTAGAAATAGTTTTTTTTTGTTTTTTTTAAATGGTAAATGTATAGAATATCGGCAATTTATCAGCTATCGGCCTGAAAGTTCACAGATTATCGGTAATAAAAAAAGTTGATCCCTATTTGTGTGTCAGTGTATTTATATGCATTAGTGTGTTAATGTGCATGGATTTCAAGATCAGAGACAACATGGGTTTACTTCAGGGAGATCATGCCAAACTAATCTTATTGATTTTTTTGATTGGGTAACTAAAATTATAGATCAGGGTGGTGCAGTAGACATTGCTTACCTAGATTTCAGTAAGGCTTTTGACACTGTTGCACATAGAAGGCTTATCAATAAACTGCAATCTTTAAGTTTGGATTCAAATATTGTTGAATGGGTAAGGCAGTGGCTGAGTGACAGGCAACAGAGGGTTGTAGTTCATGGAATATATTCGAAGCTTGGACTTGTCACCAGTGGGGTACCTCAGGGATCTGTACTTGGACCCATTCTCTTTAATATTTTTATTAGTGATATTGCAGAAGGTCTTGATGGTAAGGTATGTCTTTTTGCTGATGATACTAAGATATGTAACAGGGTTGATGTTCCAGGAGGGATAAGCCAAATGGCAAATGATTTAGGTAAACTAGAAAAATGGTCAGAATTGTGGCAACTGACATTTAATGTGGATAAGTGCAAGATAATGCATCTTGGACGTAAAAACCCAAGGGCAGAGTACAGAATATTTGATAGAGTCCTAACCTCAACATATGAGGAAAGGGATTTAGGGGTGATTATTTCTGATGACTTAAAGGTAGGCAGACAATGTAATAGAGCAGCAGGAAATGCTAGCAGAATGCTTGGTTGTATAGGGAGAGGTATTAGCAGTAGAAAGAGGGAAGTGCTCATGCCATTGTACAGAACACTGGTGAGACCTCACTTGGAGTATTGTACACAGTACTGGAGACCGTATCTTCAGAAGGATATGGATACCTTAGAGAGGGTTCAGAGAAGGGCTACTAAACTGGTTCATGGATTGCGGGATAAAACTTACCAGGAAAGGTTAAAGGATCTTAACATGTATAGCTTGGAGGAAAGACGAGACAGGGGGGATATGATAGAAACATTTAAATATATAAAGGGAATCAACACAGTAAAGGAGGAGACTATATTTAAAAGAAGAAAAACTACCACAACAAGAGGACATAGTCTTAAATTAGAGGGACAAAGGTTTAAAAATAATATCAGGAAGTATTACTTTACTGAGAGGGTAGTGGATGCATGGAATAGCCTTCCAGCTGAAGTGGTAGAGGTTAACACAGTAAAGGAGTTTAAGCATGCGTGGGATAGGCATCAGGCTATCCTAACTATAAGATAAGACTAGGGACTAATGAAAGTATTTAGAAAATTGGGCAGACTAGATGGGCTGAATGGTTCTTATCTGCCGTCACATTCAATGTTTCTATGTATATCTGTAAGTATGTGCATACATCCAAGCACCCTCTTGCAATCTAACTCAAATATTACATACACACACCCTTGCATTCAAAAAAATAAAATAAAAAAAAATTAAATATACAAACACAACTCTTCACTCAAACACAAATGTACAACCGCATTTAAAAGTGAACATTACATTCAGACACACCCCTGCAATCAAACATTACACATAAACACACTCCATGTATTAAAACACAATAACCATATACAAGCACCCCTTAAGACACCAACACTGTACATTACACTATAGCGCCAGTAAATGCTGCAGCGCTGTACAGATATGCAACCTAAAAATTTTGACTTGGAGTGTCTTGGGAAAATATTGAAATATTAAAGGCACCTTGAGCCTAAAAAGTTTGGGAACCACTGGACTAGAGTGATAAATATAGTAACTATAGCTAACTAGTGACTTGTGATCATCATCAGATGAAGTGCCTCAAAATTGCTTTATGTTTGGTGGATGCTAAAGAGGACACATCTAAATAGAAGCGGAGTTAATTAAAATATCACACAGTATTGAGCATATTTTTAAATGGTCTAATGATAGTCAATACAGTGATAGAGATAGGTAACAATCACATAATTCCTAACATTCCTTCTCTTACCCAGTATATAAAGGAATTGCATTTTTTGGCCCACCTCTCAGTGTGCATTGAAAATTTCTCATTTTAAGGCAGGCAATAATTTCTTATGGGAGCATCCACGACACGTGAGCAAGTTTTACTCGGTAACCCTAATAATTAAACATTGCAGTGTTTTCAATTGCAGGTTCAAGAGGATAGGTGAACTGCACCCAGACCACTTCTGTAGTCTGGGTGACTATAGTGTTCCTTTAAGCCTCTCCATTGCACTTGAATGGCTGAGATTATTTGTCCGGACAACTACACTAATGGAGGAGCGATGGCTGCAACAAGACTGGGATGCCACAGTATAAAAAATGATTAGATTAATGCATATAATATACATTTCAAATGTTAATGTGCTCCTTTAACTACAATTTGTAAGCGGACGAAAACATTTTTACTACTAAAAAAAACATGACATTTATGCCGTATCTCACCCTGTCCGGGAGGTGTAATATAGGTCCGTCTTGGGTTGCTCAAAACTTTTCCATCCTGGATGATACCCACCCCAATCTTGTTGGCACTTCCTTCAAACCCGAGTACAATAGTCATGGTTACTTCAATAACAATATTAACCTAAAATAAAAGGAAGACTTTAAACTATTCTGTTAATTATAAAGTACATGATGTGATGGGGCATCCCTTTGCATTTTGTCTTTAAATGACTTAGGTTAAGCTGCCCGTCTGGCTTGATTCATTTAATCCTGTGTCTTTAAAAATAAAATAATTGAACTCTTGCAATTCAGACATTGTGTGGACCCAGTCTAGCAGTAAAATACACAGGTTGTTTCTCATGCATAAACTCCCATAATTATACCACAAGTACTTTGGAACTTTTTTGGTAATCTCTGGTAGAAAAAAAACAAATTGCGGATCATTTTTTCTTTTAATGTTTTGTAAAGTAATTTTTACATTTATTTTTCCATGATGGTAAAATGTTTAAATTCCAACACTTATGATCAGTCCAGCACCACCATGTATGCAACTTTGTGAGTGTTACATTGCTCCAACACCCACCTCGCGGATACTTCCCCAAGCAGGGCAATCCTCCTCCATGAAACTATCATGCCGACTTCATTGCCAGCACAAAGGTATCAATGACTCTGCTTCTAGTCAAAACTAGGCATGTGGGCAGAGCGTAGTGGTTGCTATGATACAGAGGAGGACAACCTGTAGGAGGTTTTTCTAGCGTTCCATGTCATTCAGTTTCTCAGGATAGAGGTATATGCCAACTATGCTGAAGAACTAGTTGGAAAGTAGTCATTTTATACAGGCTACTTTACCTTAATCTATAGATATCCTAGCAACACTGCTAGATTTAACTTAACAGCTTCCAACTAACTTTAAAATGTTAGTCCATGCATCATAATCACTACAGCCCACTTAGCAAACCGTTTAGCATCGGCTTCTGCACTTCTGGCTTCGGCAGAACTGCAGCCGTTGCCATTCACTGTCTGCGAGCGTCAGCTGACCACTCAGCCAATGAATGCAATTTTGTGCAACAAAAGTTGTACAGAATTGGCATTAGCCAGCCTGCAATTCTAGTTCAGGGCTGGCTGATGACAATGAAATCCCAATGATGCTGCTGGATGTGGAGTTACTTTGTATGTACAGTTTCACAGCATAATGCTGCACTTATAGGCTCATGACACCATGACCACTTCAAATTACTTAAGAGGTCATGTTTCTTGGAATAAACCTTCAAATAAACTTGTGTGTGATCAAAGAGGTACATTGGAAATATGTCTTCAACTTTAATCAAATTGTACAGCGCTACATAAATAATGCTACCGAACTTGATGGCGCTATATAAATAATCTAACTCAATTAGTTACAGAATAGTGGAATTAATGACCAAATACATTATTTGTTTGCACATTATTTACTTGGCAAAAAAACAGGTATACAAGGAGGTCGTCAGTGGAAAAAAACAACAAAAAAACACTCCAAGCACCATAAACACTACAGCCTGATGTCTGGATAATTGTGCCAGACAGGGTCACAGCTGTGACCCTATCTTTATACTAAAACACAGTAACTTCCCTGAGCCAAGCAGCTGCACTCATTGCCTGAACGCATCACCTGAGCACTCTCTGAGCCACTGAGCGGGTCCTCTTCCAAGATAAGTCAGGGTATGGCCGCTGTGAGCCAGGTAAGGGGTCAGACACATTTCAGTAGGAAGGTGCCTGAGCAATCTTGGCAGCGAGCTGTAGTGGTGCTGGTGGTTGGGGTGTTCCTTTAATTGAATGAACCCCTTTGAAGCCAATTCAGTTTTGCCATTACACCAGCTGGCATGATGCATGCACCTGGCATTGTACACTGATCCCTATGTTCGGGTTACACACAGTGGCTTTCTGTCACCCACTCTCCCGCCCTGCAAGCCGCCATTAATCCCGGCCTTTTACCTGGTCACGTGGATGTCAACTCGCCCACTTTGGGTGAATCGCAGCCACGTGTCTGTGTTGTTTCCCTGTCCTCCAGTGACGTATTTCCGGCGAGCGGCGCGTGGAACTTCCGGTCTGGGGGTCTTTGTTTTATTGGCATCCAGGAGCCGCCGGAGACGCAGCGAGCTCGGTGTGTGTGAGCGGGGGAGACACCGGGGGAGTGGGAGGGAGACAATACGGTATAATATCCGCCATAGCAAGCCGTGCTCACAGCAATGGGTCCTGTGACCGCACCTGAGCTCAAGCAGGGAATCCGCTAAATACAGAGTGCCGCCTGCATGGCACTCATGGGACAACCCCCTATCTCCGGATACCGGGCGGGCAGGGCGAGGTCGGTCTGCTAGTATGGGCAGTGGCTGTGTTAATGTGGGATAATACAGTGTTGTGTGGGTCTGCCGTGTGTAAAGCAGGCCCCGCCATTACATTACATGATATCAATGCAGGCACCCCGACATATAGGAAGGGTTATTGTGTGTGTGTGTATCGAGCAGGGCTGGGCTGTGATTTACTATAACAAAGCTACGCAGAGTGTTGGTGGCCCACATGCATCTGTCCATTCTACAATACAGTGCAGAACGTTCTAGCGAGAAACACGTGTTTACTGTTATCAGTGTGCCAACTTCAAGCTGTGTGAACACTAATCATTAACGGGTTTCCTCCCACCACCTTTCTTGGGCCCATCTTTCTATAAACACAAGCATGTGTCAATATCCTTTGTCATCCACTATTCCAAGTGCCACCGACATTTCTTCCATATCTCATTCCATGTCTCATTTTATGTCCTTTGCCAATAATTTAAAATACCTTCCAATCACTTAATGATCATTAATCCTTGCTAGGCTGTATGTTCGCTATGATGCCCAGCTATTCATTTAGTTCCCCAGCCTCTTATTTGCTAACTCTTCCTAGGTGTCCATTTTCAGTTCCACTAGTGTCATGCATCTCTTTCAATAGCTACCCATTTCATGCTAGGCATTTCTACTCCTCCTTTCCAGTCATCCCTTTTCTTTTGCCTGTTTCATCCATCTAATACTCCCTTTCTTATCCCCTGAATGCTTGCCTGTCACTTATCTCCGTCCGTTGTTACATAGCCATGGACTCCCTGTCTATTCTTATCATATCCTAGCAAGCTGTTTATATCATCCTCCCTACTTTTCTGGCAAACAGAGCAGTGAAGAGTAAAGCTGCAGATGGCTCTGAAAAACTATATGTAACTATTAATTGTTAGACATGGCACATTTGGTTCTCTGGCAAATGAAGCAGTCAAGGGCAAAAATCCATAGGGTAGGACAGTGAGAAAGTGGTTCTGATTTGTAAGTCATGACCTGTGAGAGTATGATAGATGTGTAAACTTGGTTGGTATATGAACAAGTGCTTAGGAGAATGATTTCTCATACTCTTTAAAAAGATGGGTTTCAAAACCATTCTTAAAATTACTGTCTCTGAGACAAAGTAGGAAGATCCAGAGATGTTGAGGTAACATTTAAAAAGTCTAATCGAGTCTCCAGTAATCTTATTTAGCTTTTTGTTGCTATCTTTCTCACACAGTTTCAGTATCCACTACGCTTCGCCCTCTTTTTTCTTTGCGTTTAATCCCTGCCATCTGGAAAATGCCCAAACGGGGAAAGAAGGAAGATGTGAAGACTGGAGCTGAGCCTGAGATTGATGGAGCTGGTATGCAAAAGATAGAAATAGAACATTAAAGTAGTGGGTTCTTTGGAATGTTCAATGAAACACATTTTATTTTTCACAGAACCAGAAGTTAAGAAGGGGAAGAAAGGAGCAGGTAAAGAAGTGGACCAAGCTGTTCTATATGAAGATGCTCCTGACAAGCTATCTACAGCCGATGGCAAGAAGTACACCTTGAAGATCAGTTCGTGGAATGTGGATGGAGTTAGGGCCTGGGTTAAAAAGCAGGGGCTGGATGTGAGTGCAAGGTCATAAGGCCTTTTTCTTCCTATTTTCTCTCTAAATATTGTGGACACAAAACAATGAAATTATTAGCCTAAATGGACTTTATTCACTCAAAACAACTCTATCTCCGTAAGGTTGATTTGAGGACTGGAGTTTCTGGTCAAAGACTTGCCTTAAAGAAACAAACATATTCCTGACCCTATTGTGTTAAAACCACAATCTTGCCTCCCTAAATATATTTAAGTCTGAAGCTGCTGCCTATGCCCCTGAACTGCTTCTGTCTGCTGACATCATCAGAAGTGGTGGTCTGAGCCAATCACAATGCTTCCCTGTAGGATTGGCTGAGACTGTCAAGTAGGCCGATCAGGGGCAGAGCCAGCACAAGTCAAACACAGCCCTAGCCAATCAGCATCTCCTCATAAAGATAAATTGAATCAATGCATATATATGAGGTAAGTTTGGTGTCTGCATGCAGAGGGTGGAGACACAGAATGGCAGTGCTGCCCACCCTGCAGCACTGCCCCAGGAAGCACCTCTAGCAGCCATCTGAGGAATGGCCAGTAGAGTTATTACTAGGCTGTAATGTAAACACTGCATTTTCTCAGCAGAAAGCCTGAAGGGAATGATTCTAATCACCACAACAAATACAGTAAGCTGTAGTTGTTCTGGTGACTATAGTGTCCCTTTAAACTGACACGCCACTGTCCAAACCAATACATATCACTGTTTAGTAGATATACAACTAAGGAAACCTGCACGTTTTTAATTATGCATTTTTCATTGAGGATATATATAAAACAGCTTGCAAAAATTATTTTGTTTGTTGCCTTTGCAAACCCACTCCCAGCCCATAATCTCTGTGGCTGTACAATTACATAATTTTAAATGCAGCTCAATGAGAGGTCATTGCAAGGCAGGTGCTCTGAGCAATTGCCTGTCTCTTGAGTTTAGCTGCTCAGCGCTAAACAAACTAGGAAGTAACAAGAACTGTTTTCTGTTTGAAAGTCAGGTGGTGTAAGAAGGTTAATTTATAAAGGTGCCAATTTCTTTTAAAAACACTTTTTGTAAAATGGAAAAATAAAAAGACATACTCTTCACACATAATGCTTTTCAGCAAGCTGCAGTGTATACACTGTTTATCAGGCACTTGTCCACACTCTCTTGTCCTTTCTTTGTTTGGTCACCACACTGAGCATAGAAGGAAATTATTGAAAAGCTGTGTGTGCCAGTGATTGGCTGAAAGCGTTAGCCAGAATATCTTTATTCACAGAGGTGGGTCAGCTTACTGGTGCCCAATGCTTCTTAATTATTCCCTTCTCTTCTCAGTGCAATGGCCCAGCAGAGAGCATCTTAAGTGTTCAAAATCATGTTTACGCCTTACGATTTCACCTTGTGAAGCAATTGAATCCCATTAATATTCAAACCTAATAAATGGAATGATCTAATTTCATTCTTCGTAGAGATGTATAAATGAGATGTAACTGGTAAAAAGGAAAATGACGGCATCTAATCATGTAATTAAATGTTGTTGTTTTTTTGTAGTGGGTGAGAGAGGAAGACCCACATATAATATGCCTTCAGGAAACAAAGTGTGCGGAGAAAGCCCTGCCTGCTGAAATAAAGGACATGCCAGAGTACCCTCACAAGTACTGGGCCTGCTCTGATGATAAGGAAGGGTATAGTGGTGTTGCCATGCTCTGTAAAGATAAACCTCTAAATGTGACATATGGAATTGGTGAGTACTTATACGTGTTTTCTTACATCTCTAAACTTTTGTCATTTAGATAAATCTGGAACTTGGAATGAAACCACTGTTTATGGATTACTATTTTTTATTAAATAGTCTAGAATATTATACAGGGAGAAGATCACTGCTGATCCGTCTCCCTGCACATCACACTGACCGCGGAAGTGCAGGGACAGCGCGATCGGGTGCTCCCGGGCTGCCTCGAATATCAAGGCAGACCGGAGGAGCGTTAACCTCGCACTCTGGTGTTAAATTTAGTATCATACCTTTTTTTTTTTCTTCTTTTTTTTTTTTTTACTTCAGGGGTTCAATTTATTTCATTAATTAATTTAAATATTTTAAAATGATATATTTTGCTAGCTGGGGTGAGTGGGAGTTATGGGAAATTGGGGAATTTACTGTTAATGCTGCTTATTGCTAGTTAGGGGTTAACAGTGGAAAGAAGTTAATGCTATTTTAAAAGTGTAAAAATAATTTTAAGAAAGTTTAAAAGAATAAAAAAATACATTAAAAAATGCTTATTACCGCTACACCTGGAACAAACTAGCGAAAAAAGATCCCACACTAAGGTTCAAAATATGCCTTATGAAATATCCCATGATCTATTCTTTAAAAAATGGTATGCGTTTGTGGGTTGGTTTGAATAACAAACCAGCTAAACTACTACATGGACACAGCATAAAACTTCAAAGTTATAAAAAAAAAAAACTGGCTGCGTCTCAAATGTGCCCTTTCAACATCCACATATACCCGGCAAAGGTACATATGGGGGTATTGTTGTACTCAGACGACATAGCTGAGCAACATATGAAATATTATACAGCCGTAGCACACATAAGATTTGCAAAATAAACTGTGCAAACTTACCTTGTGTATCAAAAAGGCAGAAAAAAATGCTTATTACCACTACAAGCTAGCGGAAAAATGATCCCACGCTATGGTTCAGAATATGCCTTTTGAAATACCCTGGGATGTCTTGTTTAAGAAATGGTATGCCTTTATGGTGTAGCTGGAATATGAAGCCTGCTCAAGTGCTCCAAAGTGGGACACAAACTCATCAAAACCTCCATAAAAATTCACACTTAAAAAACTGAACTTGTCACGTCTCTATTACAGCACTGTAACATCACAAAATAGTGTCTAGGTCATACATTGGGCATATTGTTTACTCAGAAGATGTAACGGAGCATAATTGTGTTTTTTGTTTTATGACAGTGGCACATATCAGGTGTAAGAAATACTCAGCAAAAATGCAACATGTATGTAAAAATGCCATTCCCCCCCCCTCACCACAAACATTGGCATAAATTGCTGAAAAAATGGTGACAAGTTGTCACAATATACGCCATATAAAATACCTTGGGGTGTCTGCTTTATCAAATGAAAGCCCTTTGTGGGGTTATTTGAACAGTCACACTGCTATAATACCCTAAAATGAGACATAGACCCGTCAAATCCATCTACGGAAATTCTAACTATAGAAATGGAAATAGCCTTGTCTCTTATATAGCATTGTAGCTTTACAGAATAGTGCCAAAGGCACACAATGGGGGTATCGTTATATTCAGCAGGTGTAGCTGCTCAGGAATAGCACACACCAACTTTACGAAATACACATTACAAAAACCTTGTTAAATGTGTATATGCCAAAATAGAGAAAAAACATAAGTTTGCTCCAATATTTAGCAGAGATTGGCGATGAAATGGCTATGTAAAAAGTGTCAAAACAACCTCAGTTATATAGCCTGTGAGATAGAGATATATATATATATATATATTTTTTTTTTTTTTTGTGGCAATTTTGTTTTCTGTGATGGTTACTAAACCTACAAGACAAGCATGCCAACTTCTAAAATTGTTTCACATTGAAATTTTATTTTAGTCCTTGTATTTTGTGTTCTGTAACTTTCAAAATAAGCTGAAATCCTACACATATTATGTAGTCTATAAATCAAGACACATAAATGAATTTATTTTGAATAACTTTTCGTAAGCTGGACATTCCGTATATATTAGAGTATAAGTCGACCCGAATATAAGCCGAGGCCCCTAATTTTACCCCAAAAAACTGGGAAAACTTATTGACTCGAGTATATGACTAGGGTCGGAAATGCAGCAACTACTGGTAAATTTCTAAATAAAATTAGATCCCCAAAAATTATATGAATTGAATATTTTTTTTACAGTGTGTATATAATGAATGCAGAGTGTGTGTTTGTGTAGTGTGTGTATATGATGCAGAGTGTGTAAACTTGGTGGGGGGTGGGCATTTTTATTTTAATATACATTTTTTTTTTTTTTTTTTATATTATTACATTTTTATTTTATTTGATTATAATATTAAAATTTTTATTTTATTTTTTTCGTCCCCCCTCCCTGCTTGATACCTGGCCAGGGAGGGGGGCAATCATTCCCTGGTGGTCCAGTGGATGTGCTGTGCAGGAGCGGGGCTGGGAGCAAACTGTTACTTACTTTTACAGCCGCTCCCTTCTCCTCCGTGCCGTTCAGCTCCAGTTTAAATCTCGCGGTCTGCGTGCCACGCGGAACGTCGCCACGGTAACCCGTGGCAATGCTCTGACGGCCGCGGCTTTCGCGAGACTTACAGTGGAGCTGAACGGAACAGAGGAGAACGGAGCTGCTGTAAAGGTAAGTAACAGCTTGCTCCCAGCCCCCAACAGGACCACTGGGCTTGTAATGAGCCCGGCGGTCCTGGTCTGTATTATGGCAATGTAAGTTGCCATAATACAGACAATGACTTGAGTATAAGCCCAGTGGGGCTTTTTCAGCACAACAAATGTGCCGAAAAACTTGTCTTATACTTGAGTATATACGGTATGTACACGCTATTATTGCCAAAACTGTGAAAAAAAAAATATTTTTGTTGTTTTCCCATTTTTGTTGCATTTTTTTTTTTCACTCAGAAGAAGGCCAAGTGAGACAGCCACTAGGGTGGATTTAACCCTATAATGTAAACATTGCCGTTTCTACCAAACTGTAATGTACATAACTTTGTTATAATTACAGGATCACGGCACCCAGCCCGCTACCTAGAGATGAAGTTGTCTGGGTTACTTTAGTGCTCCTTTAGAAAGGTCACAACTAACTTTATCTATACATTGCGCTTACACAGTGGTCAGCAAAGGAGACCCTCTTCAGGGATACCTTTTTAAAGCATGGTAGTTTTTTGTTTTTTTTTATGGAGACATCAAAAAAAATTTAAACTCTTTAGTACTGGACCAAGGCAAAGCTCAGAAAGGCTCAACAGCAAAACAATTGTTAATTTTTCTGGAACAATAAATCTATTATATATAATATATACCTACATGTATTTGACTCTGTAAATGATGTGCTTATTCTATGGGTGAGCGCCTTCAATACATCTTAAACATTGTAGGTACATATCTGTGCCATCTCTCTTCCCTGTGACATTACTTTCCAAGTAAAATGTGGATTGTAAAATTCTTCTTATTATGCATCCTTAACCTGAGATCCTTCTGCCCCCTGAATGTTGAACTGTGGCTTCCAGTAGTCTCTGCAGAGATTTGAGAGAGTTATAGTGCTAGCACTTTTATTTCCAGGCTGAAGAACACCTATGTTACCTTTTTGCCCTTTCATTCCATTTCTTTTATTGCTGGTGTCTTGTATGCTCAGTGAGTAAAGTAGAGTAATTCTTTTGGTTCCTCCCTTAGGAATGGAAGAGCATGATAAAGAAGGCCGTGTTATCACTGCAGAATTTGACTCCTACTTCTTGGTTGCTGCTTATGTCCCTAACTCAAGCCGTGGCCTTGTGCGTCTGGATTATCGTCAGCGCTGGGATGTTGACTTTCGTGGGTACCTCAAGGGGCTAGAGAGCAAGAAACCACTTATACTGTGTGGTGATCTGAATGTGGCACACCAGGAGATTGATCTGAAAAACCCTAAGACCAACAAGAAGACACCTGGGTTTACCCCACAGGAGCGACAAGGCTTTACTGAGTTGCTGGCTGAGGGCTTCATAGACAGCTTTCGGGAGCTGTACCCTGATACTCCTTATGCATATACCTTTTGGACCTACATGATGAACGCACGTGCCAAAAACGTTGGTTGGAGGCTCGATTACTTTGTGTTGTCAAAAACACTGCAACCGGCTTTGTGTGACAGCAAGATCAGGAGTAAAGCAATGGGAAGTGACCACTGCCCCATTACTCTCTATATGGCCATATAAAGGGAGAGCGTTATGACAGCTGCTAAACACATTTTGTAGTAGCTGCTTCTCTATAACTATCCATATGGCCATATATAGTGTGAATCGGCATGTTCTATCACTACAGCACCCTATTGTATTCCTGTGAAAAGTAGGCACCATCAGTCCACATGATTTTTAAACATGTCAGATTCCAAAGATATTTTGCATTGCTTCTATGTATATATATATTTCTCTGGTCAGTAAAAATTACATTTCAAACAAAGGGTTGGAGAATAGTGTTGTGACCTCCCACAATATACTAACATCTTGACTCCATATTTATCAGGGGGATGGGAGGACTACTTTGTGATAATCATTGTAACCCGTTTAACAGTGATTTAATAAATGCTGTTCCATAATCTAGTTAGCAATTAAAGGGAGTTACTTATTGCTCTGTAACACTAGAAATGGCCATATGAAACAGATGTTAGCTATTACACTCTGTGTGAATATATTACAATACTTGCTTTCTATGGGTGCTTTTCCTGCGTGTGACTCTATACCCTGCAGGCAGTTTTATTTTAGGACTTCTCTTCCACTTTCCCCCATAAAATCTCACTAGGTTTATTTTTCTGTTCTATCCTATTTACAAGAGAACTAATTCTCCCAATGTTTGTAATGTTCTGATTTCATTTGTTGTGGTTTTTTTTTTAGTGTTCGACTAACAAGCAGTTTATTGCTTACTAGGATGTCATTCAAAAGCTAATATTTTGTATGAATCTTTTGTTTTCTTTGGGTTTTTTTAAGCAAGCGGTAAAATACTAATGTTTGCCTGATAACTGAATATAGAATAGTTTAGGGCTTAAGATTTCAGCTTTTATGCCGGTAGCCAGGTTGTAAAAGTTACTTGCCATTACAAGCTTGAATGACACACTCGGCAGGAGTTAATACTTACTTACTTGCTAGTGGAAATTTTGAGTCCTGAAATAGATTTCCTCATGGTATCATCAATATAACTGGGTACTATGGATATAGTCACAGTTCAAGGGCACATCTAGTGCTAAATACTCATTCATAGGTTGACAGTAAGGAATTCACGGATATTCTATGTATGTTCTGGGGAATAAAATAAATATTTTTGTTGCACTCCTTTGTTAAGTAGATCATCAGATTAGTGTTAAAATACCATAATTTTTTTCTTGGTTTTAAAGTTAATCTGGCATTTATAATTTTGAATGGTAATGTGTAATTTTTATTTAATTTTTTTTAACAAAAAAGTTTTGTGAATGGGCAGTCACTGATTGGCTGAAAGGGTCAGCTGACCGCTCTCAGCCAAAAAGCGTCACCTTTCACCTCTTCAGAGCCAGAGAAACTGTCCGCAAGGATGCAATGTAGCCAGAAACAACAGATTTAGCTTCCAACAATATCAAATATCAATAGCAAATATAAGGGTAAGGTATGTCAAATCACCTTTGGGCTGATTTAAATATTATTGTCCCTTTAAAGAGACCCTATAGCTCTAAGATCACCATTTAGCTCAGAGCATGGAGATGCTGAACATCAGTAACACTGACCCATTAAGCACTTCTAGTGGCCGTCTTAGTGAATGTTGCTAGAGGTGTTCCTAGGAAGTAATTGTTTTCTCTGAAAAGGCAGTGTTTACATTAAAAAGCCTGCAGGGACCGGCAGTAGACACTAGAACAACATTAAGCTATAGTTGTTCTGGTGACTATAGTGTCCCTTTAATTAATAAACCCACGTTAGAGATTATATCAATGCAGTCTTGAGAAGACTATTATCAGATGCAAAAGTCTTTGGAGATTTTAGTTTAAAGTTTTATCTACACATCCAGGTAGGCAACCGCTTCCCACAGTTTTGTTGTGAGAATCTTGTGCTTTTTCTGGAAAACTACAGTTTTGTATATCCATGAATTCAGATTCTATACCTGAATTTAGTACTAGTAAAAATGTTGGGTAGTTGTTTTGTAGCTAAACAATGTATACTTTTTAGATAGAATTGTTTGGGTTTGGCAGCTGGTGAAAAAAAACACATTGACAGTTGTTATTCAATGAAGTGAGAATTCAAGGTGAATTCAAAGTAATTTTAAAATTTAAGGCTAAAGTAGAAAAACTGGAAGCATGGCTGACTTGGAGTTTTTTGTTTTTTCTCCGGTTCAGTTATCATTACCTCAAATTTGAAATTCACTTTGATTTCCTTACTTTAGTGAATAAGCCTGTTATAAAAGCAACCTGATTTACATGGTCTGAATATTAACCAACAATGAATAAATATATAGATATGGCTCACATAAATGCCCTTATTCTTAAAGGAACTCTTTAAGCACCATAACCATTGCAGTCCACTGTTCAAGAGTGGCTTGGCTTCTTACCTGGGCTTTTCTGCATCCTATTAGCTTATGGAAGCTCCTTGTAGGAGCTTTCAGGCTCCAGAAGATAAGCCGACGAGTGGATCCTACCTAATTTATCAAAATGTTTTTAAAATGGTTTGGCTACGTACATTGTGAGGGCCGTAGGGTACCTCTGGCAGAAAACCACTACATCGGTTATGACACTTGAAGTGTCCCTTTAATGGGTTTATTTGAGGATACATTAAATATGAAAAACTACTTGAAACCTACTTACAAGCCAGCCGTCAAAGGTTTAGATTTAACATGTCCATGTTGATAGTACTTTTTCCGGATAAGCCTTTGGGAATACCTTTTGCTGTTGAATGTGAACTGCTCATATTATCTTTGTCCTGGAACTGAAAGTATTTTAGAACAATTGTCAGATTTAACTCTGTAAATTATCACGGTCACATCTGGAAAACATTTTTGGTTTGTTACTTGAGAAATAAAGAAGCACTGGAAATTTAAAGTGTGCATGGTATTCTAAACCACTAACTAACCAACCTTGGCACCTCTGATATTTGAAGCTACATTTCCCATGATGTGAAAAAAAAAAAAAAAAATGTTGGAGTGCACACTAAATATAATCAGTTATCAACAAAAAGTGTTTTTCTTCAATGTTACATATCCCAACGCAAAAATATAATACCTAATTTTATTTTAATTGATTTGTTATAATAAATAGTGCAACAATACAATAGTTGGTAAGTTCTTAGTTAAAGGACCACTCAATGAAGTGGTCTGGGTGCCAGGTCCCTCTGGGATTAACCCTGCCTGCTGTAAACATAACAGTTTAAGAGAAACTGCTATGTTTACTTTAGGGTTAATCCAGCCTCTAGTGGCTGTCTCATTGACAGCCGCTAGAGGCGCTTCCGTGCTTCTCACTGTGATTTTCACAGTGAAAAGACGCCAGCGTCCATAGGAAAGCATTGAGAATGCTTTCCTATGGACTGGCTGAATGCGCGCATTCAGCCGATGATAACCGAAGGAGGAGGAGAGTCCCCAGCACCGAGGGAGCCTGGCGCTAGAGAAAGGTGTGTTTAACCCCTTTCTTCCCCCTTAAGCCCAGCAGGAGTGGGACCCTGAGGGTGTGGGCACCCTCAGGGCACTATAGTGCCAGGAAAACAAGTTTGTTTTCATGGCACTATAGTGGTCCTTTAAGCAGGCTATGCATTTAATGGCTGAGACACAATCATTTCTGGAACCAAATTACTAATAGAAGTGTGGTTGCATTTTATAACGTTATGGTTTATGGCCTAAATAACTGAAATAGTGAAGTGTTTGGATTTTGATTGTAATTATATGCCCAATCTAATGGGAGATGTAATATAAGTGAATATCAGACCCAAGGTGTTTTCAAAAGAGAAAAGGAATAAAGGAAGTAGGAACCCAAAAGAGACAAAATGTCATTTTTTTTCTTCCCTTCTTCTGTTCTATAGATATACATTTTTAATAGTATTGGTTATGTAGTGGAAGGCTGAAAATCACCACACTGTCTGGAAACCCTTATGCTGCCATGGATTTATGCACCAACAAAGAAGTTTGTTTTCCTTTATCTTGCTAATCCGCTGCTGGGAATACTCAATGAACACTCAGATGTAGTATCAATAAGCATTAAAAGGTTTAATGTGTAGTACATGGTATATAAAAACAGTATGTCTAGGGGTGTATACATCAATGACAACATTAACCAATAATGGAAGCCGCAAAACTGAAAGTATAATTTTTCATATAACCTTTCGTAATTCTGTTGGTGAGTCTCCTGTTCACTGTTGCAAGTCACAGTTTTAGATTTAGGAACCCAAATAAGAATTGCAGGTGTTAGAAAGAATGCTATGTTTTGCAAGTGCAGGATGTTAAAAAAAAGATAGTGCAATCTGGTGCCAGGACGCAGGAACACAAGAGCAGAAAAAATATATGTTTTTTAAAAAAAAAAGTGAGTTTTTTTTTAACTCTTTCAAAGCATGAGTATATTGTATTATAATCAGGCCCACTGACCATTCATTCTTTCAAGCTATGTATACAGTAATAAGAAATACAGAAGTAGAAAGCAGGGCATGAGACTGACACCCTGTAAATATACAGCTCTGTATTTCTAGGGAAATATTCACTAAGCATTGCATAGATAAAAATAATTTTTCCAACATGTATTTGAATTATGGAATATCATGGTGGATGAGTGCAAAATTTTCTGTGCACTAATGTTTCTGGTTTATTCACGTGTATATGTTTTGGTTGAGTTAGAGGCATTCCCACCGTAGGGATTGTTTTTGCTGCCAACATAACTGCTACAGTGTCTATTTTAGAGCACCTGAAAGCTTTGCACTTCTCGTGATTAATTTTGATACATTTCCCATGATGCTCATCAAACCTGGTGTCAAACGGTGCAGTGAGGCAAAAGTTTTGGTAAAATCTGGTTTGGTTGGGAGTTTGATGTGGAGCTTAATTTATTGCTCCTCATTCCTATGATCAATTTGGCTGCTGAAAGCACTTTGTAATGTGATATACTTTAAATCAATCAAATTAGAATTTAAATTTACATTTTGTGATCACCTTTTAAAAAGTGAGGCAAATTTTCATGGGTTATTTGTGACCATGAACATTTTAGTTATTAGGTGTCAAGCATCCAGTTTGAAATATCTGAATCCCATTTTGTAATGTATAATGGTGTACCAAGAAATGCATATTTTATCAAAATTTAGGAACCATTCCAGTGAACATCAGTGTTATGGATTGTATCTCTTGTATTCCCTTTACTAAAGTAATATGTAAATTAAAAATACAATAGCAATAAATTAAGGATGACAAAGGTATTTATAATGTTCTGCAACACCCCCTCTGCAGCCCCGTCTTTTTCTGTAATTGTTGCATCATCAGGTCTCTGTGCCGACCTTCACTGGGTCAAAGAGTAACCACAGTTCCACAAAATCCCGAGGTCCTCAGCAGTTAGAAGTGGAGGAATCCATCTTGGAAACACACAAGATTGCAGCGCTGTGAATGAAGACCCAGCAGTAACACCACAACTTAAAAGGACCATTAAAGTGGTCTATGTGCAGTGTCTCTATTCTCCATATTCCTGCATTCCAGTTTTAGTGAAACTGCAATGTTTTATGTTTTTATTTCCCTTACTAAAACTGCCTCTAGAGCTGCTTCCTGGAATTTTATGGAGTTGGACTTTGTAAAATGACGCTGAATGTCCTTGCGCTCTGGATGCCGTTTTGGTCACTACTACACACTGCTGTTTTCAACACTGTTGATCATCAACAATTTTTTTTTATCTTCCGTAATCTTGCTCTACCAAACTCGGCTCTGCTTTCCAGGTTATACTCCTACTTCTCCAAGCACTCTTTCAGTGTTTCTTTTTCTGGCACTTCCTCTTCTCTCCAACTCCTCTCTGTCTGTGTTTGCCGAGGTTCTGTCCTTGTACCTTTACAGTTCTCTATTTATACTGCCTCAGCTCCTTTGGCTTCCAATATGACTTCATGCATATGACACAAATCTATCTGTCCTCTCTTGATGACTCATCTCTGACTGCCTCTCTGCTATTTCTAACTGGATGGCTGCTCATTTCCTTAAACTTAACCTGTCCAAAATAGAATGTCTCGTCTTTCCTCCCTCAAGTGTTGCCACTCCCGTTTTCTGTAAGATTTAAGGTCAATTTAAAAACTTACCCTTCATAGTAAACTATTCTAGTAACCTACTTTTTACCATTCATGAAACATCATATCTTTACCTCTTGTCACTTTATCCCGCTCCCTCTAGAATGTAAGCTCGTTTGAACAGGGCCCTTAGCCCCTGTTCCTGTACGTCCAACTCTTGTTGCAAATACTTGTCTGTTAGTCCACCTACCATACAGTGCTATGGAATTTGTTAGCACTTTGTAAATAATAGTAATAATAATGAATATATTTATTTAAATGTAAGTCTGGGTCCTGCTGTGTGTGTGTAAATAGCTCCTACATTCATTTTCATATCGTAAGTGTCTGTTACAGCTGAATAAAATGTCAGCGTCATTGGTGCTGTGAAGGGTCGAAAAAGACCATGCTGATGTCGGCTAAATCATGCAATTTTTTATTTAAAAGAAACATGTCACTCCCACACCACTCATGCTATTTCATCCACATATTGTGCTAGTAGATTTGCTAGCAAATTTATAGATTGGGAGAAAAACCCATTTAAAATACATGGAGAAGGTTTGTCCTGCTTGGGGAAGCATTTTCTAGCAGGACAAACAAAAGGGGACCAGAGGAGGAGCGGAGGACAGAGGTGGGTGTTACATGAAGAGGAACACTTGCAAAGTTCTTAAAATGGTCACCACGTAATGGACATGAAGTGAGTATATGCCAATATTTGATATTGAATACCTTATGTATCTTGGTAATATATGATATATCTACTGCATTTGAGGTGATTTAGGTAAGTATTCTTTTCCTTAACAGATGCACTTTAAAGGCACATATTTTGTTTTCATTTTCCAAAACAAATTTTATTACAAGACATTCTATATACAATACATATAACATATTGTAGTTTTAAACAATGAAGCAGATTTTTGAACCGCGTTCAGGGCAGTGACTCATTATTTTTGTTTAGCAAATTACTAAAGTTAACATAAGGAAAGTCATTGATGCAAGACTAATCACAAACTATACAGGAAAAAATACATCAAACCTTTTACTATCATTCTCCTATTTTTCGGATCAATATAATTAGTACATAGAAACATTTGTAGATTCTACATTGTTGTATTTTTATCTTCATTTTGTTAAGAAAACCAATTTGTTTCATCTTATTGGTTTTCTGTAAATAGAAGAAACCTAGGACTATTTAGAAATAATCTCATGATAATAAATACTTCCACAGGCCACTAAAGAAGCTCTAACATATAAAAAGAATGCACTGTGCTTGGCATAGAGAAATACAGAGCATGGCAGTTCTTATTAACAACTAAGTAGTGCCGCTCCGCTGAGCCCTGCAGGCTGCAGTAATCACTGACAGTACATCGTTAGCGAGTCTTGCTGGTTGCCACGGATAAAAATTACTGGTGGGTTGAGGTCCTGTGAAATGGTTTCCAGCCAGGCCATATAGAGGGAACTGGGACAAACTGCTTTGCTGACAACTGGCAGGCTTCTGCAAAAAAAAAAAAATAGAAAGAGATTGGAGTGGTATGCATGAGCGTAATCCATTAACATTAAATTGACTCAAACGCAAAGCCATGATTTCATAGGGGATCTTCATCTAATGATAGAATGATAACAGATTTTGGAATTAAATGGCTCCTACAAAAAATTGTAAGGAACGATCCATACCTTTCTACATTTATTATTACTAAATATGCATGGTAAATACTAACAGGGTTATTTACTAAGTTAAGTTAAAATTTAAAGCTCAGCTAAAATGGTTAGATTCAGTATTAGTACATACATTGCAACAAGGGCAGCATCCTTTGAGTTCTCCTGTAGAATCTCATTCATTCTCATGTAGCGTTCCGACTGTTGGGACAGGGACATAAAAAAAATATTTAAAAAATCAACGTGCAATATTACTGCCAGAAATCGAAATATGTCACTGTTCTAAATGAAAAGAAGAGGCCAGAGTAATTTGTGTTTTTCTGTAATTAAGAACTCTTTTTGATCTTATTGAACTTGTAGAAATTATTGATTTGATGACTTAATTTGCACTATAGGTAGACATAAATTCTAGCAAGGTAGGAACAAAGCATTGGATTTGTAAAACAGATATGTTCTTGCACATAGATCCAGATTTTATTTGAATTGGAAAGATAAGACAAACCTATTCAAATTAAAGAATACTGATTTTAGAAGGATAACACATTATATTAAAGGAGCAGGCCACCAACCAGCCTTGTATGCATTCATGTCAGACCGACATGCCCTTCTTTGGACAGTCCTGCCTTCTTTCCAGAAGAGACTGTTAAACTATTATTTTAGATTTGATTCAACTCTATTATGATTGTACAGTGCAAATACAAAGACAGTAAAAAATAGCTGGCCTCCGATCAGAAATATGCTACACAGAATTAAATACTGAATAAATACTAAATATTTTTGTAATAGTTCCCACCTCTGTCCCTTAATAATTAATCCCAACGATACCGAAATGTAAAGAAACTTGATAATAAATAATTGCCAAATATGAAAGGTGCAGAATATTCAAGAACCGTTGATAGCATAAATGTGGTGCAATAAACATACCTTGGCCATGTAATTGAGTAAATCAGTCTCCCTGATGGCCCATGGAGGGATATTCGATTCTCCATCTTGTACCTGTCCCTCATTGACCTTGTATGAAGCAATAAGATCCTCAAACATTTTCACCCTGTAGATATGGAACCAGAAATAAAAATGAAGACTCTGAAGTTTTTGTTTCTATTACGATGTCCTCTGGGTAATTTTAATAAAAGGCCATAATGGTCAATAACAAAAAAAGAAATCTTTTTACATACACTTTGGTTTAATTATCTCAACATCAAAAGAAGGTTTATAATTCAGACATGTAACTGGGATGTTGTAGACTTACGTTTTGGGTCCTGGTTTCTCTTCAATGTCTGTTAATACTACAACCTCATGGAAGCCAAGTCTAAATTTCTCCAGGAGTGTTTGAATTCTGCAGATAAAGAATGCAGGTAAAGTACATGTTATTAAAGATATGTATTTCCTTCTTCCCCTGTTTTGTAACCTAATTTCAAAGGCTTACTCTTTTTTTTCTTGCTCTGCATTTTCTTTTTTCCCTCTGATATAAACACAAACTTTACACTGTGCCCAACGCTTCCTGCGAGTCAGTAGATATGGAATAAGGAGTGTTAGACCTGTGGAAAAAGAAGATCAAAAGGACAGATACATAAGACAATGCAAGGATTTGCTGGTACCACTGCAAATGAGGAGATAATATGGTTGAAACTGCACATGTAGAATATCAAGTTTAACCCCTTAAGGACACATGACGTGTGACATGTCATGATTCCCTTTTATTACAGAAGTTTGGTCCTTAAGGGGTTAAAATGCTGGTAAATTCTACAAAATCCAGTTAGCGCAACATAACCCCAATTTGTTCTATACTAGCTAGAATACAATTTTATAAGATATATTTAATGTGTGAAATGTCCATTTAACGTGGCACTACTTCTGATTATTATAAATATATTGGCGACCATATTTCAATTTATTTCATGTGGTGGAACCTACAACACGTAGTAGATTCATAATGCATTATACCAACAATCTGATTTTAGGAATGATGGAGTTTTAATGTTATAGTGGGGTGATTCTGACAATCACAGATGCAGTTACATTCTTGTGGCAACTCACCTCCATCATCATACAGCCAGTAGATATGAATGCTTTTCTTGCCTTGGCGGCTCTGGAAGGTAGTATTTGCTTGAGTCAGGCTTTCTAGAACTGGGTTAGGAGGTTCTGAAGGCAAAAATCAAAATATGAGCATGAAAGAGCCAGTGAAGATATCATTAAAGTTAACTTAATGAGCAATTACTAGAATCCGAGAGTACAGTGAGTAATTAAAGGAGCACTATAGTGCCAGGAAAACAAACTTGTTTTCCTGGCACTATAGGGTCATTAGATCCCCCCCATCCTCAGACCCCCCCCCTCCCACTGGGCTGAAGGGGTTAAATCCCCTTTAGCCACTTACCTTTCTCCAGCGCCGGGCTCCCTCTGTGCTGGGGAACTCTCCACCCCCTGCCAACGTCACATTCAAACAGACCATATGAAAGCATTACTCAATGCTTTCCTATGGACGTCCAGCGTCTTCTCATTGTCAGCAGCTGAAACTGCTATGTTTTCAGCTGCAGGATTAAAACTATAGGGACCTGGCACCCAGATCACTTCATTGAGCTGAAGTGGTCTGGGTGCCTATAGTGGTCCTTTAATATGAAAAATATAAACCACACAAAACCAAGAGGGAGACTATTGTTCTGAGTTTAGCCCACATGTGACTGCTGTGCTGAATAATAAGTATATTGTTTTATATTAGCTTCAACTTCCCTTAATCTTTATTTACTTGATTGGCCTTATATATTCCATTTCTAATATAGACAGATTGGAGAATGTGATTCTTTGGACAAATTGCGAGATCTTTACCTTTCTCCGGTTCTTTGTTGCACTCCAATTCATCATCAGAGTCCTGGAAGGCCATATTAACTGTAAAAGAAAGTCATGCTTGGTGTCAGTGATGAAGACACTATTTAGTGAATTGGTCAACATACAGTGCCTTGTCGATTTTTTTCTAATTTTATTCATACCATTTAGAACTATTCTTATAGCCCTATTACATCATTTCTCAACATATCATTTTCTTAGTACCATTATGATAATAGCTCATGCAATAGCACAATTTCATGACTTTGAAATAAAGTTGCTCTTTGTGTAAGGATATCTGTTATGCTCCCTATAATCCTCTGCTCTGAGAAGTAGATCACACTCTATGAGAATTTGTTGGAATTCCACAAGGACTTCTATTAACCACACAAGAGCAGAATGTTTCCTCTACCACCTGATATACAGCAAGGACAACTGGCTCCACGTGAAGTGTTGTCTTCTATTACACTGTATGTAGGGTACAATGGGTAGTTCAGGGTGGAAGGCATGTGGTGTTACACATGGTAAAGAGGGCTATTGTATACTTTTTATCTTTTTACATGGTAATACACCCCTATACACACAATCAATATCTCTTCTAGCATTATGAAACAGACACAGTTGGCCTGTAAGGTATTGTCCAGTGCTACACTTTGTGATTACAACTCACCTTCGCCATGCACCTTCTTGGACACATTAAGACCATCCTTAATCCTCAGAATGCACACCCCAAACTGACAGTCAAATGCATCACTGTGTGGAAAAATGAATCATATTAGACTGAGGACCAGATAATAGATCCAAGGCAGTAAATGAAAGATACATAGGGGAAAGTTCAGCCACAGGAAAAACAACAAATAACTGATAAACAGAGGAAGGGTGGTGGACAGAGGAAAATATATAAATGCTGACCACACGCAATAACTAATGCATAGGGGTAACACACAGGCGTTAAAGAGGATCAATAAAAAGTCACAGAGATGCCAAGAGGGCATGGAATAGACAAGGAAGCAAGTAACTGACACAAAGTAGAAAGAGGGACCAACAGTTGACAGAGGCCAACTAAATGAGGAATAGGGAATTGGAGCCATCAAAAGCTTCTGTTTTAAACTGAACACATTTGGTTATTGTTTTTTTTAAAAACTTTTAAAAAATCTTTTATGTTTGATTACCACTTTAGCAGTATTCCTGAATTGTAAACTCTTAAGGCAATTTCACCTCTTTTACTCTTCCTTTCTTTACAAGAGAAAAGAGAAGTATTGAGCTGCTCAAAGGAATTTTGGGTTGTGCTTTAATATGTCACAAGTGAGTGGCCCCTATTTGAGTCTGTCATCTGGGTCCAGAAACACTATATACTTACTTTATAACTCCAAAATAGTCTTCTAAACTCTGCCCTGGGTCACTTTGCCAACTGCTTTTAAATCCCAAGACCAGAGTGTTTGGTTTTAGACGTCCCAGACCAGACACCTGCATGAAAAGAATGTTGAGTTATGGGTATTGTTTCTGAAGTTATCTTAGAGGTTCTGAAATTGCTAAGCAAAGAATGATTTAGGTAGGCACTGTACCTATACAGAAGGTGGATGAGCATTGCAGTCTAATGTTGCACAGGGAGTTTTGTTTAATTATAGCTCAAGCAGTAGAGAAGAAGGTGGTATATTAAGATAAGAAGTTAACTCTACCTGCATAAGATTTTTGGCTCCAGCTCTCAAACTGCTTTCACAGATCACACTATAAAACGCTCTCACTTTCCTTGTGTTCAACCATTGTATGTGTCCATCTGAGTCACTCATTTTTTCACTTTCCTAAAGACAGCATGATTATGGTTAATATTTCACATCATTTATCACTTTATATAGTCACAGTGCTCTAGTATCAATTACATCCATAGCAGTTACTTAATATCCTCTTAATCCATAGTGCTAATACATTACTATAACTACTGCACATATTTAGCACCTACTATTTTAATGGTACATATCTGACATGTAGATTTCCAATAAGATATATTTGTTAGATGGCAGTCTGTTATACTGTGAATATCTATGTACTGTGTGAAAATTGTAATTTCCATATAATCAAGCAATGGAACTCAAAGGCACTGTTTTGTTTGCCATCAATCGACACTTCCATGTGATTTGTTAAGCATATATTCATCAACAAAGTAAAAAATGACTATGTACAGAGAAGGAAGATATATGTTCACAACGCAATGCTAGGTAAATAAAACCCTCAGTGTCTCACTGCATTTTTTAAAAGCAAGAATATCAATATATAAACAGTTCTAGTTGCACCAGTAAGTAGATAAATTTAGCTTTGTACTCACAGTCAATACATTTCCACAGATCATGAGGCTCGTGTTTTTGGTTATGGAACTGACAAAGTCAGCCAGAGCTGGACGTAAATTTGGTGGTCCAGTAAGAACAAGACACTGCGGCCTGGAGCATAAAGCAAAACAATGGTTAACACAATGAAAAGAGGATGGATGTCTGTCGGTCTGTCTATCTATCTTTTAAAAAGAAAAACACGGGACGCAGACATTGGACTGCAGATTTAACATTACCTGTAGTTCTTGACGTGTTCCTGTACTCCCGTTAAGTTCACACTGTATGTTAGGGCCATGTTATAGGCTCCAGCTTGCACTGAGGATCCCCAGTTGACATCTATGTGGACAATGAAAGGAGAAGATATTAAAGACAAGATCACAGTTAATAATGTATCATTATATGTTTATTCTAGATAATGAATAGCGAAGCTGACTCACCTGGTTTTTTGTAAGTCACATAACCTAGCAAGACAACAATGATGGACACAGCAATTAGAGCAGCCCACCATGTGAGGAGGAACATGATGACCACAGACACCACTGCACCAAAAAGGGATGTCCACTTGCTGTAATAGCGGAAAGAGGGGCGCCATCCTATGGAAGAGAACAAAACATATTAATGATGCTAATTAAACAGTATGACAATTTTGCTCTGCAAACAAAATGTAAAACACACAGGCCATTGTATGAACATTTGTTAATATTTAAATAGTACACTATCATTGTCTATTCTTTTGAGAAAATTCCAGTTTTGCAAGAGAAATGTCTCACTATGAATGAGGAAGTAATGAAGAGATAACTCCAGTAATAGAAGACACTAAGAAAACATTTGGAGAAACTAGAAAATTCTAATTTATAAAATATGCTTAGTAAGAAAAAAACAAAACAAAAGCAATCTAAGAGTCAGATATAAGAGAAACTATTAGATTAAATATATTTTCTGCTATATGAATATCTCCCATTAATTTTTCTTACCTGGTGAGTTGGTGATGGAAGCATGGAAACAGCTGAAGTTGATTAATGCATAGGAACAGAGGAAGAAGTTGGAAATAATTGGAGCAATGGTGTTTAGCTCAGCTGTAGAAATGAGATCATAGTCAGTATTGCAATACAAGACTGGAGAAATTATCAGGATTACAGAGTATTTTAAAACCTTTTCCATGAAGGATATGTTGCGATTAGTTTTGTTATCAAGTATTTTGTGTGTGTTTGCCTAGTCCCTGAATATGGTGCAGCAGCTCAGGATCAGCTAGATCAGGAAATGTCACTTTGCTCTTAACAGGCAAATTGTCATGGCAGAGCCGGTCACTTACCTGCTCCTGGGAGCCTGCGGCGTCCTTGTAGCAGAATGGCTGCGATCGCCGCTCTCCAAGTCCCCTCTTTCAGGGCTGCGGCATCTCCTCCCCCTCTCAACGCCGAGGTCCATGGCGAGCATGCTGTCGCAGCAAGATGGCGGCCGCCATCGGACCCGGCGTTCTAGGCGGGGGGGAGGAGGTGCGGACCTGTCGAGACGAGGCAGGTACCTGAATTCCTTTTATAGCTCCTGTGTGCCCCACCTACTGGTGGGAGGTGGCCGTTCATGTGATCCTGGCTCCCTATTTAAACCAAGCACGCCTCCCAGTCAGGTCTTGGTTATTTTCCTTGCTCCTGATTCCCTACTTGTCTGCTTGGTTCTTGATCCTTGGCTCGTTTACCCTAGCCTGCTGCCTGACCTGATCCCGGATTGATCGACTACTCTTGCCTGCTAGCTGACCTGATCCCGGATTGATCGATTACTCTTGCCTGCTGCGTGACCTGATCCTGGATTGATTGACTACGCCTCCTGCTTCTTCCTCTCTTGGATACCTCGCTTGGCTTCTACCTATTAAAGGCCTCTGTGCCACCACAGACCTTTCAGGACCCTGTACCCACATCCAGGTTCTCCTGAGGGTCGTGATTGTAAGGGATTGCTGTTCCGCTGCAATTGGGTTCTGTCACCGCTACAAAACCCCAAGTGGGTGTGACACAAATTAAGTTGTTTACATGGAGTATTGTTATACTGCTCCACAATACTATATTGAAGATCTATTCTATGACATTCTATGCATTTATCACGTTTTAACTATTAGTAATTAATTTGTACTTTCTATTATATGTAATGGCAGTCGTGCTCATTAATTCATGGTTATACATAGTCATGCGATCAGAGTTGTTTATCAGGCAGTGGATTGTACAGGATGGGCAGGGAACAGCACACTTTGGGCTAGTTTAGTCAAGGTGGAAACATATGTTAAAGGATAGTTGAATAATACTGAATGTCTATAGTATTCAGTTTGAAAATTATATAGGTTGGTCTTCTAGTGGACTCACCTATAAGTATGAATGCAATAGCTATGATGAATGTCAGAATGTAACCACGGATTGGTTCATTGTTCTTCCCATAACCTTTTCCAAAGAATCCAATAACAGGGTATAGCTTGTCTTTGCAAAGGCACTGTGAGAAGGTAAATGTGTCAAGAAGGGACATAGTGAGACACACGCACAAAAAAAAAAGAATAAAAACAAATTGAACACTATGTGAAATGAAGATCGATGATAGCATTAAAAATAAGAACAACTGATAAAAGAATAAAAATCAGAACAACTGATAAAAGGATATAATCGTAAAATTGTGTGGTATACTATAAGGGAAATTCAGTGCAATAGTAGAAACGGATTGGTATATTTCTTTTTTGATGTGTTTTCTTTTATATTTACAATATAGCACCACATTTACATATAAATAAAGAATAAAAGCATATCCTCTTACTTGGAACACTTTTGGAGCAGAGACAAGGCAAGCCAAGGCTGAAGAAAGAGTGGCAGCAAAGATACCAGCGGTGATTAGAGGACTGAATGCTGACACCAAGCTCATTGCCTGAAGAGGAGAAAAACAACAGCAAGATATGAAGCCTCGCCAATTAAATATGATAGAAAACAATAAAGGCTGTCAATGTCCCTTTATTATTGGGAACCTCACTAGGGTGCTCTCTTACTTGGTAGTGGTTAGATAAGCCATAAACACAGGGTTCCGTATCTCCACATGCAGTGAAGTTCCAGCCAAACTGGCAGCTCAGTCCTTCGCAATCAATCGTCTGATTCACAGGAATTGTGTCATTCAAAATGCCAGTTGCATCACGGACAACACAGGAGCCTTTGTATAAAAGTTACCATAATGAAAAGAGTTTAACATTTGTGAATAAAGGATCAGAGTGACACGGGGCAAGCAAATGTGTGGATGAATGCTTTTGTAGTACTAGGGCATCATATTTACAAATCTCACCTATTGTAGCAGAAATTGCCAGATATGAAATGGTGGTCCAGAATATAGCCATCAGTGTTCCCTTGGGGATTGCCACTGCTGGATCCTGGGAAAATGAAGGGTAAAAAATGAATTATATCAACGATCATCGTTATCACTATGGGTTTAACAGCCTGATGCAATTTATTCTCATTTATTACACTAAACATGTTTATTAGATAAAACACAAGTATTTGCATTTTAATAATGTAGTGGCTTAGATATGATTTATATTGATTTTTGTGGTCTACATCTTTTCACGTTTTTGCCAATTTGCATAAGTATCATCAAACACCCAAATGCAACACAACTGCCTTCTTAAGTATCTTAAAACTTGCATAGAAATAGGTTCTTGTGTGACCCCTTCCATGCTTATATTTAGTGATAAATCTTACAGCTAAAATTATTCAAATTGTAAAATATGAAATCAATCTTTCTCATATACACATTGCAAAAAGACCACATTATCAAGAAATAAACTAGGCATCAGGTGGTAAATAAATATATAGCTAGCTTATAGCTACACATTAAGTAGTTGTGAATCAGAAAATCTGTAAGGTTGTTGTTAGTATATTCCACAAATTTAGGTGTTAAATATGGCTCAATGTTTTTCATTATTTCTAAATAAACAAGGCACTCCAAACCAACAAATGAATTAATAACTGTAAATGAAGGGGCTCTGAATTTACTTGCTATGATCATTTCATACGATAAAAGAGAAATTCCAAGCAGTTCCTGTGGTAGTCTGTAGATTTGTTTGTCTTTGTATATGTAATTCTTTTAAAAAGAAGTGTATGTCCTACCTTTAGGTCTCCAGAAATATTTGCTCCAGCCAGGATACCAGTAGCAGATGGGAAAAAAATAGAGAACATGCCAAAAAAGGTTCCAGTTTCACCACGCCAGTCAGGAACAATATTTTCCAAAAAGATAGAACCTGTCATATAAAAATAGAACCAATGGTTATATGAAACATACAGTAGCAGTTTTGGGATACATAGAATCCAATCAAGTGGCCCAATTGGAACTCAACCAAAGATCAAGTTAATAAACGGCATGAAGGCTGGAAACCTATTTCAAATAGCTTTCTTTAGAGTTATATTTTCATGAGTTACTTACTCTGATAGCCAAAAAATCCCTTGGATTGCCTTTCTTCGGTGGGAGGGATAAGTGTTCCCACTATGTAATTTACAAAAGACACCATGATCACAAAGAAGAATGCGACCTGAGCCTGTGTAGACAATTCAGAAGATTAAATTATCAATCCAGTACATAAGCTCGAAATTTCAAATAAGTCACACTAATCAAAGTGCACATACCTTTGCTTCCCATTCCATTCCAGCCAATGAGATCGCAAGCAGAACTGCCACTGTTATTACACCAATGATTCTGATGTCATTTACTGGATCAGAAATTACAGCATTATATTCCTAAAAGGAAAGAAATTAGATGGTTTGTATAAGTAATCTAGGAGTTTACCATAAGTCACAGAAGAATAACTGTAGAACATTGCAAACTTTCCAAGAATGTAGGGTAATGGCTTCTTGATCCAAGGATAAATCTGACTGCCATTCTGGGGTCAAGAAGAAATTTTTTTCTTAGTTTGTTAAAAAATTGGAAGTGCTTCAAACTGGGTTTTTTGTGTTCTTTTGGATCAACAGCAAAAAACAGATATGAGGAAGCCTGAACTTGATGAACACATGTCTCTTTTCAGCCTATGTAACTATGTAAAGTGCCTTTCCTTGAGAGAGGTGGAAGAAGTATGAAACATTTCCACAAAAAAAGAGCCGTTTTACTTGCATTGCAAAAGTTAAACTGATTTTATTGAGCAATAGCCAGAGGCTGAAAGGGAGCATTGTGAAGTTAATTTGAGGCAGTTCTGCTGTATATAAAATCCATGAAAATAACAGAAAACAATAAAAAAAAAAAAAAAACTAAACTGACTACAAAGATTAGTCAAAAAATGTATTATATGTATATATTAATTGAGATATCACAGTTCAAAAACAAAAAAGCTGAACACCTGTTTTTCTCTCCTTCGAGGTTTGGTTCATTCATATTTTTTTGGGGTTGCTTATGCAGCAACATAGATTACAACATTATTGACACCTTTGTTGTCACTATATGTGTATATATATATATATATATATATTCTCTCCAAATAGTCTTATCAAAATATCTTCTGCTAGTTAACGCTAATCAGCTCATTCTGAACTCTCTGACCCACTGCCACACATAGACATAGGAATCTAATTTACAGTAGAATTAAAAACTTACTATGAGAAGGTCTCGAACAGTCTCTGCAAAGCCCACTGTATGCATGGCTACAGCAACTGCGTTGGCGAATGCAAAGATGAGCCCAATGGAGCCTCCTAACTCAGGTCCCAGACTGCGAGAGATGAGGAAGTATGTTCCACCTGTATTAAAGAGTAAAGAATATAAGGAAAGGTTTCAATGAGAAATTTCATTTTCAGACATCAAAAATATTCTGTTTATGTACATTCTGCAGGCTGATTGATAAGAGCTTTATAATTGGGGAAGCTTTCATTGTTTAAACCACTGACTGTATTTCATCTAAGGAAAACAACCTTTATGCATCCTTGTGTTAGAATATCACTCCATTGTAGAGATGTTTAGGTTTATCCACTGAACAGAGAATTGTAGAGAAAGGATTATGGAATATGAAGTTTCTGGCAATAATGAAAGGGTTAACATTTTAGGCCAATTTAACCAAACTGGGAATGTTCACCAATTTAGCCTTTTTTCCATTTCCGATAATGATATATTTTTTAATTTCACTGTCAAGTCTACACAGTTTTAAGTTTCATAAATAAACACCAATGTGTCCAGTAATTTACACAGATACAATGTTACTATATTCATATCGGGGCCTTAACTTACCTGACTTGACTTTGCCATTGGTGGATATAGCAGAAATGGACAAACCAGTGATTGAAGTCACCAAGACAGACATCAGAATGATGAGGAATGTGAGACCTATAAAAAAACAATTTACAGATATTATAAATAATGTGATTTCCCTTTGTTATGTTTTCAGTTAAAATTCATCTTGCAAAATCTAGTCTAAAAAAGCACATACAGTATATACTCGAGTATAAGTCTAGTTTTTCAGCACATTTTTTGTGCTTAAAAACCCCCACTCGACTTATACTTGAGTCACTGTCTGTATTATGGCAACTTAGAGAGCCGCGGCCGTCAGAGCCGTGGCAACAATCCGCGCGGCAACCAGACCGCGAGACTTACAGTGGAGCTGACCGGAACGGAGGAGAAGGGAGCTGACAGGAGCTGCAGGAAAGGTAAGTAAATGCTTCCTGCCGGCCCCCCACTTCACAGCCCATGCCACTGGACCACCAGGGATTAAGATATCCCCCCTCCCTGACCGGTTAACAAGCAGGGAGGGGGGACAATTTTTTTTAAATAATAAAAAAAATAATATTAAAATTAAAAATTAAAATTAAAATAATAAAAATGCCCTCCCCCCACCCAGTTCACACACACTACACAAACACACACTCTTCATTATATACACACTCTGCATTATATACACAGAGTGTGTGTATATAATGCAGTGTGTGTGTTTGTATGAGTGTGTGTGTGTGTATATAATGCAGAATGTGTATATATATTGCAGAGTGTGTGTTTGTATGAGTGTGTGTATATATAATGCAGAGTGTGTGTTTGTATGAGTGTGTGTATATATAATGCAGAGTGTATGTTTGTATGAGTGTGTGTGTGTATATAATTATAAAAATCACAGAATTTCATAGCCCCAAGTTTTACCTTCGACTTATCCACGAGGCATAGCATATTTCACAATTGTTGGTAACAAAACTGCACTCGACTTATACATGAGATCGACTTATACACGAGTATATACGGTAGTTTTTAAAAAATCCTCTCCAATTCAGTTGCTTGGATTTATTGTGCTATTTTGCTGATTGGTTGCCCAAATGCCTCCATAGTTTATGAACATGCCATCCATTAAATATTTGTTATACACTTTTCAGTACTAATTGTCCTCTTCTCTTCAGGGTGAAGTGGGAAATGAAATTTAGAATTTAGGAAGAGTAGGAGTCCACGAAGAAGTGGGTAAGAGCAGATGTAGGAGAGTGTAATGGGAGAAGGAATCAGACATGGTTGGCAGTAGAAAATAATAGGAGTAAGATTTAGGGAAGAGTAGAGGAATAGGAAGCAGAGTTTATAGGGGTAATTTTTTGAAAAATAAGCTGGGGGCAGGAATTAAAGCAATTTCAAAAGGTTTCAATTCAAATAAGGAGGGCTATATTTGATATACTTTGATTTTTATGACTAGTCTTCTTTTAATCATTAAGCACCAAACATTTCTTACCTATACCGGCCTGTGCTGTGATCCATGGTAATCTCAAATACAAGATAACCCCCCAGATATTGAGCATGCAACGAATCTGTGGAAGGAAAGGAAGAGCAATTGAAAGACACAAAACACTGTAACAATAATACTGTATTTTAATGATATGTCATAAAACTGGACCTACTTAAGGGATTATACCTGTATACTTCTACAAATGCTTATTATAAAATGACAAAAATGCCCAAACACTCAATTGAAATGCTCTGTGTGTTTTAACTTGTGCTGCCACCCCTGTCCACACACCTCACTGGGATTCCTATTATAGTATATCCATCCTCCAGCATTTAAATCAATCCACACCAGAAAACAGGTGGGCACATTAGGAAACAAATATCATGTGATACTTATATGGTATGATTCTAGTAAACAATTTTACACCAGTGCTAGAATGTATGTATGATAACTCATTTTGAGAGAAACAGTCAAAACGTGATTATACCAAAGAGAGTAATGAACAAAACTAAATGGTGCCTTATACTTTGCCTTTAGCCTCTGAGGTACACACACACACACACGCACACACACACACACACACACACACACACACAATTAGCTGCTTTGGAAAAAAAAAAACATCCTGCACATCACATTGTATAGAGCCTACACAATGTGTATGTTGAATTTTAAGGTGATTAATCTCCTTTGTTTGTCACTGGGAGTATAGCAAGCCACTACAAACAGTTCCTTACCATGACTCCTTTGACCCATCCAAATCGAACAGGTTCCCCCTTCCCTTTTAATTTCTCTTTCTTTTTTGCATTATTTTCATCGGCCACTACCACTTCCTCAGCTTTGTCCTTGTCACCTGATTCCACATCTTGGTCCAAAGGTACTGGGACCATTTGCTGCTCATCCTACAGAAAAAAGGAATACAATTAGTACTTTGGAGAGGACATGCCATTCTAAAGATGAAGTACTGGTAACAGGAAGTACACACAATGAAGAGATAAGAATCAAAAGGAACAATGATATGCTGTTTTAAATAGTATAAAAGCAATAGATTACAAACACCTTTCAGCTGCAAAATAAATGGTTTAGATGCAGGTTATCTCTGAGTATTTGCTCTGACAGACAACAGTGAAATCAGTCAATTAATCAATTAGTTACCATTATTAATAAAAATATCTTTATATGTATGTATGAATCATAAACATATATCATAAAATATACTTACTAGTATGGCATTACGTAGTAGATCCAAGGATGGACGACTTCGTTTCAGCCTCCCAGGAGCTACAGAGTGGATATAGTAGTCATGCCTAGGTGTGGCATCCAGTGTATTGTAGGCCAGTTGTTTTTTACTAACCAGGTTTTGACATAGTGGTAGATTGGCAGGATTTAAGAAAATGCCCTCAGAGAAGGAACTCCGAGGCTTTATGGAATTTTCTCCTTCTCCAGGAGTCTGAGAATCTCTGGAGCAAGGAATCATGTGAAGCCCAGAACTAAATGCCTCAATTGATTGGTTCAGCTGATTTAAAACCTCTTGCACGTGTTCTTCTGGCACCTCCAAAGTTTGCCCATCAATAGTTGATGTGTATCCAGATGACAGTTCATCACTGAAAGATGAGCCTTCTAATGAAGCTAAACTTTCAGATTTATGTGCCAGTCTTTTACCGTTGTTTGGTGAGTATGCAGTAGTTTGGTTACTGCAATGTTCAGGCATAGAGGATAATGTTTTTGCATGTTTAATTTCATTCACAACAGTATGGGCATAAACACAGTGGTTATGGTCATTTTTGTTTTCTGAACTCTGTACTTCTTGGGAATAGTGCTCACTGGGCTCTTCTAAATCATCTGGGGTCAAGCTTTCAAGGTGACCAGACATGGAGTTGTTAGCCAGATGTTGTATCATGAGTCTGCCAATGGAACATTCATTTTCTGTGCAAGCCATCATCCTTGTTTGGGTGTACACAAGCTTTGGCAACCTGAATTGGGAGATACAATTTACATTCATAACAATATATATTAGCAGATTCTTTACCCAGAAATTTTACTTTTTCCAGTTTTCAGACATGCAGGTATTAATTTATTGAGATATTGTTGTATTAAGATTGCTATTTATCACTTCCCTGGCAAGTACACCATTGAATAATACATTAAAAAGTCACGCATGCCAATTCATCTCACTGAGGTTGCCTGCTTGTAGTGATCCTGTCATTTTACCAATCAAGGCAAAACATTGTCGTTTAACAGAAATGACAATGTTTACCCTGAAAGGTTAAACACACCTCTGTGGCAGTTAAATCGACAGCCACAGGAGGCACTTCTGTTGTAACTCCCGAGTAAAACTAGGTCACAAGACGTTGCAGCTCCTATCCTAAAGCATTGATTTAATGATTTCCTATGTGAAAGTTGGGATGCCCATACTGAGTTGTTGACACTTGTGTGCAGTAGGCAAGTTGCAACCCCAGCACACGTGACATTGACAGCCCAGAACTCTGTTTTGTGTTGCTTAATGTAAATTCTGTGCATATTTTACATCTGTCGTCAGTGCACACAGCACACTGCTGACAAACATAAACAGCTAGCTGTTCCTTTCCTCCCTCTATCCCTGTAGGTGCTCCCTCCAACCTTCCGCTGTTCAAAAATAAATCCCCCTCTCCCTTCTTCTCCCTACTCCCTCCCCACGTTGGCGCCAGGAGCATGCACATGCTGTCTGAGCTGGAACATTGGTCCAATCCAATGTTTCTCAAGAGAAGCATGTGAATAGTCCACACAAGTACCAAGTGACATCACAACGTGTCATACAAGATCAAGGTGGATTAAGGTAAGTTAAAACTTTTTTTTGCAGGCTTTTACAAGGAGAACTGTTAGGTATATCCCATAGAGCATTTAGAGTGTAAATTAAATATTTTTAAATCAGGGTTGGAGTAAGCCTTTAAAGGGGAAGGGAAACTGCAGCCACACCTCATTGAGAGGAAGTGGGTCTAGGTGAGTTGCTCCATTTTGCTATACATTTATATTAAAGATTTGCCAAATTATATAATAATCCAGTTTAGACAAGACAGTATTGCAGGTAAAAAGTAGAAACAGAAAGATTGTTTAATTTCTCCTCTTCTCTGTATGCTCTCTCTATGCTGATTGCCATGTGCAAAGGACAGAGTTTGTAACAATGAGTGACAGGGAGTGAAGGCAGCAAGAATCAGGATAAAAAGGTGTGGATTGCTGCATTTAATTAGATCTTTCACACCTTATCATAAATGTAGTATGCAATATCAAAATCAAGTATGTGTGCAAAGGTTAGGAGAATTACCTGTCATTAGTAGAAGTAAGTAATAGCCCTTAATTGTAGGAAATCAATTTATTTACAGGCACAATTATAGACTAAAATATCAGAAAAGACAACTGACTTTGATTTTTTTTTTTTCCGTTTAATCAATTATGGCATAAAATGTGAAATTCACTTTGCATTCCTTATAATTCACATATTAGTGAATAACTTTTGCAATCTAAATCTCTAACCTATGTATTACTTTCTAAAACTGCAATTGACACAAACTATTTGTGTTTTTCACTACATACTGATTTTTAGCAAATTAAATCTGATTGGAAAATTGCAGATAAATTAGCTGAGCTTTGACTATAGCTAAATTGGAGACTTTTTCCAAATCAACTATTTGAGCCATTTGAACTAATTCTGTTTTTAGTGAATAACCCTGATTATATTTTTTAGAATATGAAACTCTTCAATATATGATGCATCACATTTAAAAAAAACAATGAATGCTTAAGAATTTGGTGACATATAGAAAATGAAATGGGGTCAATAGAAGGAAAATGTCCAGGCAATGCCCCAAATACCAGGCATGCTTCTGAGAAAAATGTATATATAAGTACAAGATTATCCTCTAAGGTGTGCATTGTTGGAAAATTAAAGTTCATTAAAAGTAAATTTCTAATTATAGGCCAAAATTGATAAACTGAAAGACAATTTTGAGTATCTCCAAGTACGCTATAATGCTTACATTCAAAATTCCCCTTTGATTCCAAGAAGTTTACACCCTAGTCCTTGTGAAAAACCCTGAAAGGGGGAAATACATTGATTTCCTTCTCATTTCAAGATCTTTGCAAAATAGATTTTTTCATGGGATACTAGGAGGTCATATGGATCTTAAAACAACAATAAAGTACTATTTACCTTTAGTTGGTTTCTTCACGTGACTTCTATGCTAATTGTTCTTCTGCTGTAAAGTGGAGTCTTCTGCACCAGACTTGATCAAAAAACCCTGTAGTTGCAAAAAAAAAAAGGGTTCCTCTTGCCACGTAGACCAAGTAAATTGGTCAATATCTGAACCAAAGACTTAGGTCAGACATTGAATGTCCAGTCTTTCTGTCCTCCTGTTCATACAAACTTCATTATAGATGCTGAGTGGTAGTAAAAAGAACCCCTCTCTTTCTACTGTCTTGGGTCCCTATGAAAAACATCCCACCTGCTCATCTTTATATCCCATGGACAAGACAATGCTTCCAGAATAGTCCAGCCCCTCGTCCTAATCTGTTGAGATAACCCATGATGCCACCTAAACTAACAGAGCATCCTTCTAACCTAAACAATAATGTTACACATCAAATTAAATTAACAAAATTAAACAGGTTTCTCCAGTGGGATAGTCCAATCAATTTCCGCTTTTTAATCTACATACTACATGAACTTTCTTGCTATTGTAAACACTAATATGTAGGAAATATAGTGTTGTTTCTTGTGTACAAATGTGTTAAATTACATGGGGTGTTTAGAGACCAGGTTTCTGTCTTGGCAGCAGAAACAATAGGTAATTAAGTTGAACCCAAATTTAAGAACAATTACTTTCATCCACATAAAGATGGTACAAACACAGTTAAACGGTTCATACAATAACATACAAACAGAAAGTTATTGATACAACTATGCCAAAACATCTATAGTTTAATACTTTTTTGATATTTATAGGTTTTTTTTTTCAGTGTTTAACATGCAACAAACCTGTTTTTCTATGTCATTTTTCTAACTTTTCTAACTATTATATTTCCTGTTGTTGTCCTAACATTCTTATTTTCCAAAAATATTACCTTGATAGATAATCCTATTAAAAATATATATATATATGTGTGTGTGTATGAATACTTAATCTGTATACATCCTTTTCCTTTTATTTTTTTAATTGAATCATCCTGAATCATCCTAAATTCTGTGAATTAATTCTTCATTGCTATTTCTGTTAGTCTTTGTCTCTATTTAAGTCTATTTTTTTTCACAATTTCTCAGTTGTGAAGCACCTCTGAAATTGTTGATGATTGTTACATAATACATACATAATAAGGAAGATATATAATATACACATTCCTCACCTCTAATAATTCACTCAATACTCCCACAATATCAATTCAGGGACTAGCATTTATAGTGAAATAAACTATCCAGTGGTTGGATTTATGTTACTACTTTTGCTATTGTAAAGTTCAGAATATTGCCAAAAAAATAAATAAAAAAGACTTTAAACGCACAACTCCAATATTCTAAAAAATTAACGTTTTAAATATTTTTTTAATATTGTTTCTTTTGTGGAGCAGAAATTGTATTACTAGATATTTAAATATACATCCACAACATATCCATAAGACCCCAAATTCCACCCCCCCCCCCACCCATATCTAATGAACAAATGGAAACATTTTGGTAATTCAGAAGCAAACATTTTAACTAAATTTGTAATTTGGAATTTGCAATTGCAAAAATATAATTGAATTTATACTTATGGGCTCTGATTTGGAGATGATCTAAAAATAACACTGAATTTCCCAGCAAATGATTGATGTAGGAGGGCAATATATAATAATAAAAAGCCAGGACCCCTGGGAACTCTATTAACCAGAAAGGACCTGGTATCCTCTCTTACACTAGTCTGTGGGATCAGACCAAATATTGAAGAGTCCAGAAGGCCCATTCAAGGCCCTTTCTGGGGATTGAGTAGGGGTAACCTATTCTGCTAAAGAGTCAGTAGATCCTTGCAGCTTTTTTTAAAATGAATTTTTCAATAATTTGTATATACTGGGCACATTTCTGCTCTTTTATCCTGTACCAATGTACGTCATAATGTACCAATTTATTGAAGACACTACAGATATGATAAAAGGTGACATATGTATGCCTAGTATGCAAGGATGGAACTAGCCTGAATTTCCCCAAATTTTTTTTACCCTTGGTATGAATTTACTGTTGTTCACAGCTGAGTAACACTTCATTTCAAACAGTTTGGGGAAATTTATTAAACATAACACACCACTGCCACATCTCCTTCAGGCTCCGTGATAACTTTATGCAATTCTAAAACTCTGGGTCCTGCACTCTCTATATATGGGGTTTTCTTTATTATATATTTTCTATATTAGGGTTAGCGATCTCTATCGCAAAGTAACTGAGAACAAGTGGAGGATCACACACTAAGCAGTTTAGGGTTTTCTTTTTTCCACTGTGTGTAGATGCCATACATTTCAGCATTTTCAATGCTTTTTTAAGTCCTCACAGATATGCAGTGACTTTATGTGCATTTAGTGTTTATCTTCTTGAGGTTTGTATTTTTTATGCGGTACTTGGCTTTACTGTGAGAAATTGATTAGGAAAGTATATCCATGACCTTTATGTTAAATATTTGTGGATTATGCTCATTACAGCAATGTAACAAGTTAGCAATGTTTATGTGCACTGTGTAACTTGTATAGCATAGAACAGTGAGAACGAACATGCTATTATCAACTGTAGGCAATGGCACACTTGTTGGCTAAAGTGGTTTCCCTGTGAAATGAAACAATCAAGATAAAGGCTACCAGATGAGGGTCACTGAGAATAAACATGAGTGACATGATGTATTAATTTGACTCTGACATACCTTCATACCTTCACGCTGATGCAAT